TTATATATATATATATATATATATATATATGTATATACATATATACATTTGAATAATCCAAAAATCATAAATTACTATATTGATACTATAGAACTCATTTATAATTTATCAATTTTAGTAACAAGGCTGTATTTGGGTCTGAAAATATATGAAATTTCAAGCAGACTAAAGACTTGACTTACTTCTATGCCGTTTTGTATTGAAAGAAAGATATAACGACTTTATATTTGAAAATGGCTGAGAAAACCACTATGGGGTCATTCTGAGCCTTCAATTGGTTATTCACATGTCATATATAGTAGTATAAGAAAAAAAGAAAAGATAGGAGGTACTTATTTTATATTCTAGCTTGTCAGTATCAGTAATTTGAATTATAATCTATTGTTTGATAACAAACTTAATGACATAGATACATAAAATAGTACTTCAATAAAATTTTGAATGCGAGTCAACAAATGACATGGCCTTTGACCCATATGGGAAGGGTTAATAGTTTAGGTGGTTAGCAGGGTAGGGGGGGGGATGATCAAATCAGTGACCTACAGTAATAAATTGCTAATCTGAAAGGACATCCCCCCCTCCAATTTTATAATTTTTTTGAGGATATAATTTTGTTGCTTCCACCTTATTTCCTCAGATTTCTTCTTCTTTTTGGTGTATTCTTTAATGCTGTTTGTTAGGTGTTGAACCATCTAATCGAGAAAGTTTACAATCGGTGTTTTCTGTTTGATCACATATTCCTTAGATAAGACACTATTGTAGTTTATAACACTTTGTGCCAACAAAGCATAATCTCTAAATTGGTTATTTTTATTGGCAATTATATTAAAATATTAAGAATAATATTTGTAGCAAATCTTTCTTTATAGGCACTATACAAGTTTTCAGTTAGAAGAAGATAATAGCTTCTGAAGTATATACATTGTCTGTCTTTTTCTCAATATCAGAGCTAATCATGTTAGCTGACGAAGCAACACCTAAAGATTTGGTCAAAATGTAATTTATACTGGCCATTTATAAGATATTATTATTATTGTGGTTAATAATGTCAATAAAGAAATATTTGGTCAAAATTATCAATCATACTATTGTGTAGTGCCACACAAACAACAGTTAAACTTCTCTACAGGAATATTTATACTGCTGACTGTTGTTTTCATATATTTTACCCACTGTATTTAAAATGTTTTTCTGTTTTTTCTCTGTATATGTATGTAAAGATGTAGACTTGTGTATTAACTGAAATTATATATGTTCTCTGTTTATAATAAATTAGAATATTATTTAATTCTAGGAGAAAACGTAAATCAATGTACAAAAATGTATTTTGGTGTACTTGAAAGCAGATTTTTTTTACAAGGTTTCATGAAATTTATAGCACAGTACAATAAATTGTGTATTGCCATCTGATGTCAGTCATGGCTTAGAATTTAATGAAAGGCACACTTAATCTCAACTAAATTAATCTTGCTATAAAAACTAATGTATAATATATGAAATGAAATAATGCTGGGTGTCCAAACATTTTTGAAAACTTATACCAGGAAAACTGTTTAACATAGAGATGCATTGTTTGTTGCACATGCAAGAATAATGTATAATTTTTTTTACAGCATACAGTCACCATAGCTCAACTTAATAACAATGAGTTACACACAAAATGTCCAGTCTTATGGCAAGTGTTTTGCAAGATTGTAGATGTAACCTTTTTGAAAGCTTCTTGGATATGTTGATGCGATTCATCCATAGTTGTAATGTCTATAAAATGTGGGGGCCAGGTGATTTGGCCTCCCCACCCAATCCACAAACTGGGGAATGTTTCATCAAATGTGTTGTGGATGCTAAGGCTCCAGTGTGTAGGAGCACTGTCCTGCTGGAATAACATATTTATAACATCTGATGGTGCTGTAAAAAACTTACAAATATTATTATTGCACGTACAAACCATGTGTCTCTATGTTAAAGTTTTCCTGGCATGGTTATTTTCAAAAGTGCTCCAAAATTCTTAGACACCTTGTATAATTTTAGTCTACTATAGTAGGCTTTCTTTATTGACCTTGTAATTTCTGGAGAACATAGTGTGTTTCTCATGAGCCATTTAATAAATTTGTAAACAGTTCTTTTGAGAATTGTTTACAAACCTTTTAAATATGAAATTGTCATTTCTTTGTGTAATGTGTTGGAATTGCATAAAAATTTCTATTTATCTTTACCTACAATGTTTGTTTTCAGAGCTGACGGAAAGATTGGTCATTGTCTTATCTATAAGACACCAAAGGGGTATGGCTTTGCTGAGCCTTATAACATCCACCCAACACTGAAAAGTTTAGTGCTTCACTATGCTCAGACTTCTCTTGAAGAACACAACGATACTTTACAAACAACTCTGGCTTATCCTGTTTTTGCATTGCAATCAGACCAGTATGTTAATTTTTCAAACTAACAGAAGGTCATTGCTTATTGTTTCAGTACCTATCTGTGTAGATAAAAACATTTTGATCATTTACAGACTGTCTTGTTGTTTCCCACTGAATTGTAGAAGATGATAAACAGAAAATTGAATATAAAATCATAAGTTTAGTTATTAGCTGCTCATTTCTTAACATATTAAACTGAAACTGTGTGAAAGTTTCTTTCATTTAGTGAATAAACTTTCTTTTCAATTTTTTGTCATGAAATTGTTGGAACTCCTTGTATTCTTCAGGTTGTATAAACATTAAATCTGACTTGAGAACTAGTGGTTAACTTGCTGGACTGTGAATCTGAGGGTCCATGGTTCATATCCCAATGCCACGGAATTGCACTCTATTGTTATAAGAGTGACTGTCAAAACTTACTATTCAATTAGAGTACCCCTAAAGTTGGCAATGGGTGCTGTTGACTAGCTGCCTTCCCTCTAGTCTACCAGTTCAAAATGAGAGATGGCTAGCACAGTTAGCACTTGTATAACTTTCATGAATATCTTAGACAGGTTTGTACATTTGTATAGATTGAGATAATATTAAAGTTACTGTTGTTATGTGAATATTTTTAAATCTTAACTTGAACTTTCCTATGCTGTTTGACACAATTTTGAGTGAAAAATTGTTTAGCATGATATTGTTTTGTTTTTTTCAATCTTAAATTGAGCTGTACAAGATGGAATCACATTTATATGAACTAAAAGACTATGGAGTTTTTATGTATACATACTTTCCTGTGAAGCTGGTGAACGTAAAAATAAATGTTACAAGATAAATTACGAATATAAATTACACTAGATAATATACAATATGTGATTACAGATTATGCCAGATTAGACCTTTTATTTCAGAAACAAAATCTAATTTTCAAAACAATGTCAGAAACAGTTGTATTAAAGTAGGAAAAATTTGTGCTTTTACACTGGTGCCATATTTGTGTAAGTGTAACAGACCAGATGAGAATGCCTTATAATTTAGCTGCTTATCAGAAGCTTGTTTCCATATTCAGAATTTTTAAAAAGAAATATGCTTTTATATTTAATAAAGCATCATACAGTTGTGCTCGCATAATTTTTATTGCCCTGACAAAAATGTTCTTTTATACATGGTCAGTGGAGTTGTACAGTCTTCGTCATTTAGTGTACGATAAAATGTTGTTGTACGTAATTATAATTTTTTTACTATCTACCTTAAAAATACAATTCATATGTAATGAAAAATCTTTTAATTGTATTGTAATATGAAAGAAAGGAAATGGTTGTTTTTGCCAGAAGGCATAATGTCTCATTTTAACCTAATCAGTCATAATTCTAGCTTATTTGTTGACAAATATAAATTTGTCTTTTGTGATAATCTTTCATAATAAGATATTTTTTATTGAATTTATTTACTTTGAGAAAGCCAATCAATTTACAGAACCACAATTGTTCGGTTTGACCCTGCCAATACTGAATTGTTTTAATCTGTAAAATAATTTTGTGAATAATGTCATTGAGCAATCCAATAAGTTTTCTTAAGTATCGTTTGAGCCAAATATAATTGACATTCATGAATATGTGATTGCAGTGTAGAAGGCTATCTTCATTTGAATACTTTGTATATTTTTCTTGACAAATTGAACCAAGTTCAAGTATCTCTCAAAATACTTCGCTAAGAGTGTAAAAATAAAACTTGGAAGATTTCAACTTGTATACATTAAAGAGTGAGGAAATATTTATAGAATCAAATATAATTATCATATAACTCAACCATTGCTATGTCTGTTATATACCAGCCATCTTGAAGAGCCCTGGTATTTGTGCTGGATATAGCAGATATAGTGTGGTTGATATATTATTGTACACTCTACTTTCTTTTTAATAATTAGTCATATTTTGGTATAATATGTGAAGAAAAAATCCTGTGTACTTGGCATTAGGTATTTTTAATTTAAATTTAAGTCCATTACCCACATTATAGAAGAAATTATAATTTTCCTAGCAAATAAAAAATGATTGATTTCAGTTCACTGCAAACTTTTGAGGAGAGGGATTGGATTTTATAATAAATAGAAATATGATTTGTCTGTAAATCTAAGATATAAAAAATTTGTATTATGGAATTCTAACCAGCTAAACTGAAGACCACATTGTGAGAGAGAGTCTGAAATGTTGTATTCTGGCAAGTTCTGGTAACTTATTTCCTATATGTGTATCAAAATACGAGTATGATTGTGCTATTATTTTTGGGAGTTGTTTTTATATATCACAGTTTTTTCAAACTTCTGATACAAAATAAAACTATCCAGGAGATTTATTGTCTTTTCAACTAAACTTAATATGTTTTTTGTTTGTATATTTAATTTCGAAAAAAATTAAATTTCCATTAAAATTTTTTATGTAACATAAAATGATGTATTTAAAATGTTTGCTCTTTGCTACTAAATTTTTATGCATGGTTCATTTTTATATAGCATAAGAGGAACAACTTTTTATCTGTGTTTTGAAAAAAATAGCACTCTAGTCATGCATATTGGTTTTCCTGCTGTCTAATAAGGACTATATATTTTTCGAGGTTAAGTATTGGTGAATGAAGGTTGGTTTGCTTTCTCTTGTGGAAAAAAATAAAATAAATGAAAAATTTAAAGATATTTTAAGAAAGATTTAATACAAATCACCTAATAATAACATTGTTTTTTTTATTTTGAACAAAAATGAGAATGTATCTCGAAAAATTCAAAGATATTGTAAAAAAAAAGAAAGTTTTAATAAAAATGATCTAACAATAATATCTTGTTTTTTATTTGAATAAAAATGAGAATATATCTCAACAGTAAAAATGAATAGTACATGCTTTGAACTTAGATTTATATGTTGAATATGAGTAATAAACACTGTTGCTGAAAGAAGTTATCGAAAAAATTAACTCTCTTCACCCATCTTAGAAATACTAATTTTTACTTTTATGACCTGGTAATAATGCATTATTATTTGTTTGAACACGTATGGTTTCATTAGTAATTCACAAGTACTGTATCAAAATTGTTTGTTATCTATACTATCGTTAAGCTATGTTTATGGTGCTTGTTGTTGTCTTTTTACTCACAACAGTGAACCTATGTTTATGCAGGATTTGAAAAATGCGTAAGATTGGTGCTACTAATTTATTCTTAATTATTCAACATACAAGCTGTTCAAGATACTATAAATAAATATTAACCCCAATCCATGGTTATTTTTTTAATGTTTTATGTTTCAAAATTTGAAAGTAATTAGTCATATGGAAGCTAGTAACCCACGTGGCCAATGTACTGTAGTCATGCGACAATGTGTACTACATATGTCGGACAGCCCTGTATTTTGCTT